CTGTGCTTGCTATAGTCTTGCTCAAAGAAATAAATTTTAGTAAAAGAAACACCTTGAGGATATTTTATCTTTACAATTATTAAAAATAATAAATAATAATGGCCAGTCTTTGCGAGCGAAGATCCGGGGAAGGTCTTTCCACCTTCCAGCCTGCGCATTGGATTTTTTAGGTGAGACACAGTGTGCGCGGAACTGAGCCCACCCTTTAATCCTAAGGTTCATCTGCCGGGGCCAAGCGAGCTTGGACGGTGGCAGCGAGGTCCTTAGGACGTAGGTGGGTTGCCTTTAAGGGCTAACGAGCCCCACCTGCCCGGGAGTGGCCCTGACTGGGAATCGAACCCCGGGCGTGACAGCGCCGCGCCCTTACCACTAGACCACCAGGGGTTCCAATTATTAATAATGTCAGATGTCAAACCAACAACTTTTTTTTTAATCTGATTTTACAGGAGAAACTCATTTCTGTGTGTTTTCCCAATTAAAAGTATTTGTTTTATACTTTTTGGGGGACTTTGAGATGAACATTGACACAAAGGTTAAAATAACTTCAAAAGTTTAGTATTAGTTCTATACATCTATTTCCATCTTTTAGAGTATTACTGCATGGTTTATCTGACCAAAAGAACAAGATTTTCCATGCTCTTTGATCTTTTAGAAATATACTGAAATCTGAAATCAAGTGCTTTTCCTGAGTCTTGACTTTGCTGGAAACAGTGAGTTGAACAATGTACTAATATGTAGAGTCCCCCTAACAACACACACACACACAAATAAATGACAACTCTTCAGAATCAGTCCAGCTATGTCTAGAAAACGATTCAATGCTCTGAAATTTGATGTGGATAAAAGAGTGAAAACAACAATCAAGAAAGGAAAAAATAAAAGGAGAATAAATGGAAAAATGAATTCCAGGTAAAAGAACCCAATTTGATTAAACAGATGTATGAACTGTCAAATGTCATGCTAAGAGAAAAGCATAATCTCTATCTAAAGTTACTCGGAAAGCAGAGCTAAAATATTTTGATCATAATCACAGCACAGACCTCATTGCATATCTTGCCAATAATGCAAAAATAATGCTATCTAAAAAATCTTATATATCTTTTCATTTATTTCTTTTGCATTAACCATCTAGGTTAGAGGGATTTTACCTAGGTAATACTAGGGACAGGACAATTAAGTCTGTTTAACACAGAGACAGATGCCAGATGTAAGCATGTAACAGTTACAGAGGAAGCATATGCATAGTATCAGCTCTACAAATAGTCAGGCTCCCTAGGCGCTCAACAGTTTGGAAGCTAAGGGAGGGAATGTTTTTATGTTATAACATTTTCCCTTGGTGGTAGCAAATTAGCTGCCTTGTATCCATCTTCAGCTGGAACTGCGGAGAGTCACTTGAGAGCTTATAAATAAGTTTAGAGTTCTGCTAGACTGTTTCTTAGATACCTGAGAGGCAGTGTGTATACTGTGCCTGTGTACAGGCACCAGTGTAACAGGTGGACACAAAACAAAAATAAATAATTTTTTTTTTTCCCTCTAAGACAGTTTTTCTTACCTTAATTCCTTATAGAATTTGTTCAAGGTCAGGCTGAGCCCTGCTTTCAGACAAGGTGCTTTATTTTTGTCTCTTTGGGAATTAAAGCAATTGTATTTGTTAAAAAAAAAAAAAAAAAACAAAAAACAAAGCAAAGCTATATTTTTATTTGGAAACCCAGACGCTGTCTGTGAAGAACCATGCAGTAGATATTGGGGCTCAAATTTCTCTGCTTTCCATTATCTGTGATACTCAGAATTCAAGCCCGTAATAACTGTAGAGATTTCTTGCCTTTTTTTCCCAATAGAACAAAAAAAGCCTTGGAGGAGGGTGACACTTTAAAATCGAGTCATGGTGGAAAGCATACATGAAACTCTAAATCAAGTCAATATTATAGTGATAAGTTCCAGTAAAAGAAACAGTTGTTTTAAACACCCTGAGAAAGTTAACAATGATGCATATCTAGAGTAGGTTTTACTGCATTTTATAGCATGTCTCCTCCATTTCTAGGGGTGTAGTATCTTCATCACCTCTACAGAGTAAAGATTTTCTTAAAGAATGTCAATAGATTGATACTGACTGACATATTCTGAATCCCTTAGCAGCTTTAAAGGAAGCATCTGCATCTTTTACTTGTTTTACCCGAACAGTGTTTAGCTTATCTAATGCCTCAATGCTGATTTCCTCTGGAGGGTGTTCAGATAAATAAGATGAGGGCACATCTAACAGAAATTACCCTGACTGCATCTTACTTGGTGCTGTTTGTAATTAGCCTTTAAGTCTATCCCCAAGACAAAAATACACTTTTTATAAGAATATGGCTCAGATTAGTGGTTGCTAGATACCAGAAAAATAGCTTCTTAACAGTTAGCAGGTTTAAAAAGTGAAGATATTAGTGAAAACAAGGAACACAAAATGACGACATCTTTGGAAATAGTTCCCAAACTGATAATTTTTCTTAAAGATATCTTTTGTGGCATGAAAGTGCTCTGACATCCGTTCAAAAGTTGACGCCATAACAAATGAAAAGATGACAAGTAAAAAAGTTAGTCTCTGTTGAGCAGCTCAACTGCTGTGCATAAATGTAAGTAGCAGGAGAGATTTTTCTGTGTTACTGTTGTTAGTATCTATAATCTTCTCAATCCTTGAAATATAAGAAAGTGATTTGGAATTAGAGTTCTTAATGAAAGATCTAGGGAAAGGAAGGTATGAATATTCTGAAGGCATTTTCAGTAAATGTCTTTCAGAAATTAGTTTACTGTTCATGGAGAACCTGAAAATATGATGTTGAATCTGTTTACATGTATAATTCTCTTTGCCAAACTAGTTATATTTAGAGAGTCATATTTGAAAAAGGCATCCTTAATTAGCCTTTCTGATTGATCTAATTGGAGCACTATCCAGGCAGAAATTTAAGTAGGATAGCACTATGAAACTCAAATTGCTAAGAGAATGGGGGTTCTTCATAAATTGGCATAAGGGTAAACCTATTCTGCAAACCTTTTTCAAAGGTGGTAATAAAACACAACACCAGCAATCTGTTAAATAATAGTCTAGGGGACCATTTAATCATACAGTAATGAATATGTTACTTGGATTCTATATTAAACTCTTAAATAATTTCTTTTTTTCTAAGAATATATTTCTGCATCCATATGTCCAAGTGAGAGTTTCTTAAGATGTCTGGGCAACTTCAGGGATTTTCTGAGAGCAGAATCATGAAAAATGTTCTTTCCCCTGTTCTGTCAGATGCATTGTACCTCCCATGAAGTCCAAATATATGACCCACTGATGACATCAACCTTTTGAAGCAGAGAATGATACCTAGTAGGCTTTTCCATCTATCTGTATAAAACAGACATGGTCTTGTTACGGCTGTCAAAGGAGATTTTGAATGTAAATCCAGGCATACTAAGAAGAATGTGGAGGAAAAGACTGTCATTTACCAAAGTGGCCAGATTTGGAATGGTTCAGTATCCATATAGCCTTTGTAATTATTTTTTATGAGACTTTGCAAAGGAAAACAGAGAGCATTTGAAAAGCTTTACTGCACTGATTTTGTTTTGGTCAAAATCAGGTTCCTACACAGAAACTGACAAACTGTGTCCACTCAACAGGGCCCACCTATAGTCAGAAAGTAAACAGAACCATCAAAAGGAGATTGAAATAGATTTCTTCAGAAGTTTGCCATGTGTCTCTCCTCAGTGGCATCCTCCTCAGTCAATGTCTGTAAACAAGTTGTCATATCTAAATCTAAGGCAGTCTCACAAAGCAAAAAGCTTAGTGTCTTCTAATTAAAGATTTGTATAATGAGATAATTGGCAACTAGTGAGGAAGGTTCAGTGGTGTAATATACAGATAATCATTGGTGGCTTGATGGTGTGACAGATGGGGATAGCTTCTTTAAATTATGGAGCTTTTATATTGGTATTTTCAGGAAATGTCAACAGCGTGATTATATTTTCATTAATGTTGTCTTTCCTTCCCATGCATTGCTTTTGTTTGTCATAATCACTTGTTATCTTTTGTCTCTAACTATACAATCTGTTAATATTTGTATAGGATGCCTCACAATGGTCCTGGTTAATGACTAGATTCCTAAACATTGAAGCAGTACAATATGCAGTATTTACTAAATATTGCAAATTAAATATAGAAATTATTGATACTATGACTAGCTCACAATAAAGTTAGTAAAAAAATATGAATATCATGCAAATTACGCAAATGGTTACACAAATTCAGTTAGGTTTCAGATTTAAAAGTCATTGCATTTTTAGATTCTAGTGCTGAAACCATCCCATTGAAAAATCTGTGACACTGCCTTGATCAAGAGTAGGAAAATGTGTTATACTAAAAAAATGTGCTTTCTAACAGATTCACAAACATTTTCTCGTCTGTTAATTACTGCAGTTTTTTTTTCCTTCATTCTCTGGAAACAGCTTTGGGGCTCTACAACAAAGATTTACAATTTAAAACTATGAATTTGTCATATAACTAAAGTTTCTCAGTAGCTTCTCTGCTAAGGGCAGGGCTGGCACAGCTTACCTTTGTATAGTTACTCACTGCAGCCCTGGGCCAAGAAGAGTTTTTTGTGGTGGGATGGGGAAGAGACCAAAATGTCTTTTCATGTTGTCATGTGGTCTTTTCACTGCGAATTAAAGTCAGGGCCAATCAACTTATAGGCAGACGTTGGAAAACAATGTCTGGGTGTCCATTCTCCTCTTTCTCCTCTCATAGGAGTAAATGAGGTATCCTTTTTACTGGTCAGATATTTCCAGTTCACTGCCGACTATAAATTTAAGTGTTCATAACTTTGAGAAGCACAGTGAAAAATTTCAAGGGCTGTGAGCTGTGTCTGGGCCACAGATAAAAGCTGTTTTTCTGCTGTGGAAGTTTTGACATTGTTGTGAATTTTGGAAGCAGAGCCTGCCCATGTCTGTGACTCACAGGTCTGATTTGCCTCCAGAACAGCAAGGCAGAGGCCAAAGACCCATTGTTGGGATCTGTGGAGCAGCCCGCTGTGAGGATGGAAAATTTTCAGGTAACACATCTTTCTCTTATGTTGTCTTTAAGTAAAAATATATGATTGTTGTTGAATTATAAGTTTGAAATTAAAGCATGCTTCTGTAAGAACTATATTAAATGTTTTATGTGCTCCATGTAATCCTGAAATATGCCTCCAATATTTGTTATTTGGGACAAATGTGAACAAGATTTAAATCCATAGGCCATCATATTTTTATGGTTTTTGAAGTGTTTTATGCCATGTCAATATAAAACATACATTGCCTTTATCCTGGATTCAGAAATCAAGCAAACAAAACCAAGCAAACAAAGGCCCAACAACAAAAACCAGGGAAATTGTGTAAGGATAGACCTCAGAAACTTGTATTTGTATTATTAGGAAGAGACCATGAGATCCAAGAGGTTTAAAAATGTGGCAGTCCGCTTTTATTTTACTGCCAGTCATTTTGCTAATCTGAGCTGCATAATTGCTTTGCCTGACTGAAAGAAGCCTTTAAACAGACAAGCCAATATAAATACTCAGATTGGAGACAACTCTGTTTAATAACAGCAAGAATGTGTATAGAACTATTTGTTTACCTCTACTCATTTATGTCAAAATCAATTGTAATTAAACAGAAACCCAACCACAGAAGCAGTACTTTAGCTGATTGTTCTCAATAGAAGTGTCATATAGACCCAGTGTTTAGGACATGTCAAAGTACCCATTATTTTTCTCCTATAATAAATATCTCCTTATCGTTATTTCAGTTCTTTAGTAAAGACAGTTGCCCACTTCAAATGAAAAAAAAAATATAATAAAAAAAAATTCCACCATTTCATAAAAATTCTGGGAGGTTTGCTGGTCATATTTCAGGAATTATTGAAGATTTGAAAAGCAGAGTTAATTACATTCTAGGTTAGATATTATGTGGCTCTTATTGTCCATCTGCTTACACATATGCACAGAAGATATAGATCTTTCGTATCTATTCAAGGTATTAAAAATATAAAACATTATATTATTTTATTTTTTTTAATTAATTAGTCTAAAGAAAATACTGGTGGTTCTTATTTATTTTTTTTTCGTAGAATGATTTGGTTCAGAAGGAACCTTAAAGATCATCTAGTTCCAACCCCTCTGCTCTGGACAGGGACATCTTCCACTAGATCAGGTTGTTCAAAGCCCCATCTGACCTGGCCTTGAACACTTCCAGGGATGGGTCATCCACAGCTTCTCTGGGCAACTTGTTCCAGTGCCTCACCACCCTTACAGTCAAGGATAGTGTGCTTGTGGTTAGACCAGACAAATAAAAGTTACAGAGAATTTTTCACCTTCTTTAATAACAGAATGAATTCTAAATGGAAATATTGTAATAGTGAAGACAAATTCTCAGCATCAAGAATGAAAGGAATTTATCCCTTACACAAGTCAGTGTGAACTCTATGCATGCATTCATTGGCATTCATTTGCATGCATTCATTTTCTTTGTAACGTGAAACAAGGGTCATCAAAGATGTGCATTGTGCATTACTATTAACTCTGTAATGCAGTGAAGAACAGAACATTTCAAGAGTGAAGGTATTGTGAAACAACATGACTGCAAAAAAACGGTAGCATACATTTTGAAATGGCTCCTCCAGTGTATTTTTTATTTGGACCTTTTAGTCCAAAAGAATAGAATGATAGTCATTCCAGTCAACTGAGCCAGCCAAAGAACCATCCTTGACAATGAATATTTATTTTTTATCTTCCATATTTAAAGAAAGAAAGAAAGAAAGAAAGAAGTCAGTTAGAAGAAGGCATTTATGCAATGGTAAAAACTATATGTCACCTGTTAAAAGAGAAAAAGGAGTAAGATATCCAAAAGATGAGCTTCCACAAGAAAATAAAAAATAAAGCTTTTGACATTTTTAAATAGTCAGTGTTATTCATGTACTTATCTAGCCATATTCTTATTTAGCCTTTATCAATGAACACATGGTAATAAAAAGCTGCATTTTGTGACTAAAAAGTTTAGAAAAGAATGGACTTGAATGACCATCTACCTGGTCAGATCTTATAAATGATGATGTTCTGAACTCTCTCTTGTTAAATTCAAATACAATTTGATAAAATAATTTACAAGTTTTGTGAATAATGTGATGGTATAGGACTAGGTGTAGATCTAGGTCTACGTCTAGGTTTATATCCAGGCTTGTGCACAAGGGGAATCAGACTTAAATATAGGTAGATTTATTTATTTACATAAATATATATAAAAATATACATGTTTTTGTGCATGTACATATATTCATAATTTGGTTTCCCATATAAATAAGTCTGGACGTTTACTATTAAGTTATATGCAAGTACTTTGATACAGAGTTTAGTGTTCTTCATCTTATAAGCATAGGACATGAAACATTTCTTGAAACTGTTTGTATGGTGATGTTTACTTTTCATTTGTTTTCCTGCTTTGTGTATGTGTAATTTAAATATTAAGGGTCAGGTTAAATTACACCAAATATTATGTTTATTGACTTGATTTGGCCACACTGAGTCACTGTTTAAAAAAATAATAATTCCTGAATTTCTTCTTTGTTATCATTATGCAAATTTCATAAAATTAATGAGTCAAAATAAGGTATCTCCATTTTAACCATTGAAAGGAATTGGCTATCTAAAGTATTAATCAGTTAACTTTATAATGCAAATGAAATCAGTACCCATAATTAATTCTGTTCACAATATTTATAAGGAAATCATAGAAAATTATAGATATCACACTAAAAGTATCTATTTATTTTAGCTTGCTATGGAAGGCAGATGTTAAATATAACTCGTATAGAATGAAATATGTAAGGTATGTTTTATGTTGCACCAAAAATACATATCTTGCATTTTATATGTTGCTAATATAACTTTCTTCCTATACCATCTCTAAATTTCTATCCAGAATACATTTCCCATCTAAGCGACCGTTGTTTACAGATAGCTTGTTTCCTTTTCTTCCTATGGCTGATAATTTAGCAATTCTATTTTAGTGTATGCTCTCCCCTAAGTGCATAAAGCACTTCTGACTGTTTACCCTTAAAGCTCTAGAGAGTTAGGAAAACCTCTAGACTGCCTCTGTTTATTGTACACACATGCACTGTTAATGGTTTATTTTCAACAGGAGGGAGACAAGTACTGAGATAAAGACCAATGACGCATATCACTCTACCAGCACATCTCGCTGTACAGCACAGCGTATGACCTATTTTACATATAAATATTTATATATTTACCTTTAAATTGATTCTGTTTTCTCATATGCACTAATTTGGCCCTTGGTGGTGATTGTTCACATTGTGTTTGTAGTTTCTGCTACTCGTAAAAAAGTCCCTGTTCGATTTTCTTCACTGTCTGCTAGCTGTAGCAGTCAAAATTACAGGCTAATGGTTAGACAAGCAGCTTATAATGTATGATAATCAATACTCAAAATCCATTTCCTATGATGTGACATAAAAGTATGAAGTGAAAAGACACAGATTTTCAGGACTAGAGCTCCAAAGCTCATGCAATGCAGGTGGTTTTCAATTCAAGGTCATTCAGTATTTCTTTTTTCTTCTTTTTTGGCTTCATATTTAATTCAGTCACTTCTATGATGCCCAGGGAGCAGAAATGGAAAGTTAGTCGATATGTGAGTAGAAATGCAAGTATAAAAACTGCTTTAACAAATGCAGGAAATGAGAAGCGGAAGGAAGATACGACATGCAATATATATATAACATATATATGCTATATGATATATATCTCTTTTACTTAGAGATAGCCACCAAACTTTGCAATTTTGTTGGCAGCAATGACTAATGTAAACACTGTGTTAGGCTTCTGCTCATACCAGTGTATGCATATGTGAAAGACCTAAAAATATAAATCTTCAAACATAACTTGATTGCATCAAATTAACCTAGTGAGTCTTGAAAATCTCAAAGCATAGTTTTTGGCACAGTACTGAATACCTAGTATAGTAAACTTATTTCCAGTGACTGAGGACTCTGAGCTTTACCTTGTATATGAAGTTTGTTCATTTCAACCTCAGTTTAGGGGAAAAAAAAATAATTTTTTTGAAGAAATACAGTTCAGTCAAGTTTTAGAAAAAGAGTCATTTTCCAAATTGAATTTCCCAGTTTTATATTTCATATGCATATATATGTTGTAAATGTAGATAGAAGAGAATTGAACATTTCTTTGATGTATTGAAAGATAATGTGACATGGGACTACTACCTGAAAGACAGTAAGCATTTCCCTTCTACAATGGCCTTTTTTTTGGTGTAATGAAATAGACTGTAATGTATTTAAATCTTCCCAGCGGTGTTCAGTGTGGGTCTCCCAGTACAGTGTGAGGTCTCGACACATTCCATATGGTTAGAAAGTTTTACAGGAAGTGCTACCATTGGTTTTTGTTTTTTTCCTGAGAAAAAGGAAGGAGCAAAGAGGGATCTTTCTTTGCTAGAATAATTGAGAAGAGAGGAGTAGAGAGAAGTACTGGTCCATTGATTGTGCAGTTCTGAGCATTTTATGGTAGCTAACATGCAGCAAGGTTTATTTTCAGCTCTTGTTAAAAAACAAGAAAATTGTTTACAAATATTCATACAAAGGATAGTTAAACTTACAAAAAAAGGTTTGTTAGGTTTGAAAGTGCCAGACAACTTTTACTCAGCATTGGCATGAATTCTATACAAGAGAAAAATATTTTAAAGCTAGAGGCTGAGCTTGCCACAAATCTTCTCTGAAGGATTAGGAGGATGAAAAAAATAACAAAATTATTTAATAGCAAGCATCTGCAAAATCTAAAGTTCTAAATTAACATTGGGATGGTTTGGCTTGGAGCAGTGTTTTGTTTGTTTATTTCTGCTGGATTTCTGTGATAAAATGTTATCAAACTTGGCTAATATTAGTTATTGCCCATCCCATACTACAACTCAGAACTTTCCCCTCGAATGCTCTTGCCCCATGTGCTTCTTAAAATAGATTGATTTGGTTTGTTTTGTTTTGTGAAGTTTTAAGCTGCAACTCTTTGATGCTGTAGAAGCTCCAGAAAACTAGATACAGAGAATTTTAGTGGAGGTGAACTAATGAGTAGAATGAGGTGTATAGCTATGTCCTTTATTTGTATGGCTCCCATTTCATTAAGCAATTGCCACACGTATGTTGAATCCATGGTTATGCATACCAATGCGACGCAGTCAAGTGAAGTAAAATGAAACACAATTAACTTAAATTTCTTTCTTAAATTATTTTCAGTTCTTTCACTGTGTTACTGTCCCGAGGTCAGGGGTGTCTTTTACTGTTGCTTTTCACCATGATAGTTCTATTTTTTATTGTACACTAAAATCAATATGCAGATTACTCTTCCTTGGAACTCAAAGAATCATAGAATGGTTTGGGTCAGAAGGGACCTTGAAAGATCTGCCACGGGCAGGAATATCTGTCACTAGAGCAGATTCCTCACAGTCCCATCCAACGTGACTTTGATATCTTCCAGTAATAGGGCATCCACAATTTCTCTGGAAAATCTCTTTCAGTGTCTCACTAGCCTTATATCAAAGAGTTTCTACCACATGTATGTACAGTCTAAATCTACTTTATTTCAGTTTATGCAGCCAAGGACACAATTGGCTTTCTGGGCTGTGAGTACACATTGCTGTCTCATACTTAATTTTTCATCCACCAGTACCTCCAATTCTTCTCCACAGGTCTGCTCTCAATCTGTCCAATCCCCAGTCTGTGTTGATACTGGTGAACTCTCCAACCCAGGTGCCAGAACTTGCACTTAGCCTTGTTGAACTTCATGAGGTTCACATGGTCCTCACCTTTCAAGCGTGTCAAGGTTCCTCTGGATGACATCCCTTCCCTCTAGCGATTTAGATGCACAACTCAGCTTGTCGGGATCTGTGGGTGCACTCAATCCCACCATCTTGATGATGCAGATATTAAATAATGTTAGTCCAAATGTAGACCCTGGAGGGACACCATTAATTTCTGTAACCATTGCATGTAACCATCCAGCCAGTTCCTTAATGATCTGACAGTCCATCATCAAATCCATCTATCTCCAATTTAACAGCAAGAATATTATGCAGGACTGCATCAAAGACCTTACAAAAGTCTTGTCCACTGATGCAATCACTCCATCATAGAAGACCACTAGATTAGTCAGGCAAAATCTTCCCTTGGTGAAAACATATTTTCTGTCTCTATTGACCTCCCTGTCTCCCATATGTTTTGGTATCTCTTCCAGGAAGATGTGTTCCAGGATCTTACCAAGAACACTGGTGAGGCTGACTCACCTCTGTGAATTTTGTATTTAAAGCCTTTATGTTATATTCTTTTTGTCAACAATCACTTTGTTCTGCTGTCCCTGTACCTTATTCTCTCCTGCTTTTGATGTTTTTTTAGGACTTGCACCATACTCTAGATTTTAAAGTCTTCTAGGAAGGGAGCACATATACAGAATGATACTTTTTCACAGAACCGTTATCATTAACGAGTATCAATTCTGAGTAAATTATCTCATTCAATTTAACTTATCATTGTGACATGACACAATTTTACTTAAATTTAAATTGAATTTACTCCTGTATTTTTATAAATAGGAACAGTCAAAACTGTTTACACTATTGGATGCTCATAGATCAGCTTTGGTATTTCTTTTGTGTCATGTTTCAACAGTGCAATCATCCATTAATCTGGTGGTGATATAAGATTACTAGGAATTCATTTTCTAATTTAGAAAGATGATGATTGCTTACATTTTCCCTATGTTTGGGTCAACATGTCTGTTCTGCTTTTCTGAAGACTTGTTGTGCCTGTCTCTGTATGTTGCTTCACTTTTAAATTTAAAGGTATGCTAACAGGTTTTTGTCTAACTGGAATTTCAGACATTTTTTAAACACTAAATTCCTCAAATAAAATCAATATTGAACCCATCAGCCCATTTTGTGAAAGGAAAATGCTTAATAGCTAAAGATCAATGTGTAGTTAACCGAAACCTAGGGATGATAAAAGGATTTATTCTATTTATTATTTCTCTTATCCCTGATATTTGACTAGAGTCATGAGTACAATTATAAAATCATAAATGTTGGCCCAAACATAATCTATTAATGTAAATGGCAGACAAACTAAGGTTTTTTAAGCAGAAATTTTTCTTTGAATTGTGGAGCAAGAAATATCAAAATTTATGTTCTAAAACTGAGGCAAAGAAAAGAAATCTCATCTAGCTATATACTTTGAAAGAAATAGAATATAGAAATCTTATCTGAAAACATTATCAGTTCAAATAGTGTGTCACAGTTTGTCATTCTTCCAAATTGTATGTATTGAGCAAATCCGTTTCCACTTACTTGCACCGAAACAAAAAAGGGAAAAACTGATTACATGATCCATACTCATGTCTAATAAAATTGCAATATGCACTTTCTGACAGCCTTATATTTAATGCATACTGATGGGAAATTCCAGTTCTCTGTTCTCAGCAGGAAAAGTTGGGTTTTAAGAAAACCTTTTTATTTTGTGACTGTCACACAACATAACAATTATAAATGAAATGGAGGTGACAAAAATGAAAAACCAGCTTGATGATTTTTATGAAGTGTTTGTATTTCCAGAAAGGCACTCATTGCAGCTATTTGATTTGAAAAATTAATCCTTATAATTCCTTTTGAGTTCCTTAAGTACTGTTCACTCTTTTCCAGGATGAGTTTTACAGAACAAAGCCTAACAGATTTCTACAGCAGATTAGTTTACAGATGAAGCTCAATTCCACTGAGAATGATTCTGTAATGACCCCTTTATACTTCCATTGGGCTGTGTGAATGCTTTAATATGTAGAGAACAGAGTTAAATAAATCTATTGTCTCAACTAACACATTTATGCAAACCTTCTGAAATATTTAATTATATCTTCTTCTTTTTCTCCATAATTAAGAAACCAGATGTCAAGGCCACCATGTGTTGATCATAGCCTATCCATTAGATTAAATAAATTCACTTATAATTAGAGGTTTTTCTCTTTCTCCTTTGTTTTGCAGAGCAAGAAGAATGTGTTAACTGCACAGATGAATGCAGAGTGCTTGGTCATTCTGATAGGTGTTGGATGCCACAGTTTCCTGCAGCCAGTCAGGCTGAGAATGCAGATTATCGCACAAATCTCTTTGTACCCACAGTTGAAGCTAATGTTGAGACTGAGACATACGAAACTGTGAATCCCACTGGGAAAAAGACTTTTTGTACATTTGGGAAAGACAAGAGAGAGCACACTATTCTCATTGCCAATGTTAAACCTTATTTAAAAGCCAAACGTGCCCTGAGTCCTCTGCTTCAGGAGGTTCCCTCAGCATCGAGCAGCCCAACCAAGACATGCATTGAGCCTTGCACCTCAACAAAAGGACCACTGGATGGTTGTGAAGTGAAATCAGGAGCCTTGGCTGAACCCAGCAGCCAGTACTTGTCAACTGACAGTCAGTATCTATCGCCCAGTAAACAGTCAAAAGACGCTTCCTTCATTGCATCAGATCAGATGGCTAGGGCCTTTGCAGATGTGCATTCCCGAGTGAGCCGAGACTCGAGTGAGATGGACTCTGTTCTGGAACAGTTAGACCGTTCAGCCCGGGATCTAGGCAGGGAGTCGGTGGATGCCGAGGAAGTTGTGAGAGAAATAGACAAGCTCTTGCAGGACTGTCGGGGCAGTGACCCTGTGGCCATCAGAAAGTGAGGGGGAAAATGGACAGGCTGACAGTTTTGTTCCTCTTCTGCTGATTAAAAGTAAATAAACAAATATATCCCCTGGTCGTAACAGAATTAACAGGAATGAAGGAAGACCAATGCTGCTTTAAGGCTTTTAGTGAACATCTGAAGTGCCCACAAGTATGTTCTTTTCACTGCTCTTTCTTTTTGACAGATAACACTGGTTTCATTTTGACCAAACTTTCATTAGGACAGAGTCAAGTACACCAAGAACAAAATGAAAGAAGGAAAGACAGTGCCGTTTTGACAATCTGATAGGAAGGTGTGAGAAAGTTCAAGTGGAAATACGTCTGATACTTTAAGACTGTCCTCAAATAGCTGATGCTGACTTTACTGTTTACGTATAAACCCCAAGAAAAACAGGGTTGAATAATACTGATCTGTGGTGGATTTCCAGCAGTCACCACAGGCTTCTACTGAAAGTCCTTTAAAGAGTTCTTGTAGTAGTCCAAGTGACACCAAACATTAACATTCATTTGTGGTAAACGTTTATGTACAAAGTTATGTGCCACAAATATGGGAAAGAAAAAAGAAAAATAAAACAGAAAGAACCATTCCAGAACATTATTCAAGGAAACATATCCTAATCATTAATTAAACACTTCATATCATATTAAGGTTAAGTGTAAAATGATATAGTCCATCTTGTCCTGCACACACATAAGCTAACTCACTTGATAAAAAAGAAAAAAATTTAATATCTATTTAGCTTTTTAGTGTCCAACAAAGTTATAAATAGTTAGTGGTAAGTTTTAAAAAAAAAGGAAGTAAAATGAAGTTTGAAAACAAAAAATAGAGTTACCTTAAGGGTAATACAGAAAAGAAATTAACATTATTAACACTTTTTTATTCATTTGTGGACACTAAAATAGCTCAGGAGGGTGAAAATGTCTTAGACATCCACAAAAAATCACATGGTCATTTAAATGTGCAAATGTAAGAAAATTCAGTGTGTTTACATCAAATGACATATTTTTATTGATTTATTGCAGATTCAGTGCATATGAGCCAAATTGTTGAGTGTATAAGAGCTATATTGTGTATTTTATTAAATTAATATATAGTTGTGTTGCAAAAATATTTGGGCTTATATTGTAAATGGCAAGTGTTGCCTCGGTAGCTGTCGAACTCTATGAGTTTTGTTTTTTCCTGCTTCCTTTTCCCCATGGAATATGGGAAGCAGCGCCTCAGAGCAAAGTCTCTTGTTTAATGTATGGTCTACGAAGTACTGCAGTACATAATCTGTTCAAAATGTGTTTGAGTGAGCTGATGGAGCTAACTGAACAGCCTACAAATACATCCATCAGTCATGGTTATGTGCAAGTCCTTGTAGAAGCTTCTATTGCAAACCCATGTGTAATAACAAAAATTACACTTGAATCAACACCTGGAACCTCCTTGGATTTTTTTTTTCCAAACACATGCAGCCAGCCTGTTTAATGTAGGATATTTGATTGACTTCTTCAGAGGTGACACCATTTTCAAAGTTTTGGTATAAAATTCATAGAACTGAAAAATATATCAGTGCCAATATGGCATGAGGAGTATTTCGTCTGATTCTTCAGAATGTGCAATTGCTTACTGCAGTTCTAGATAAACACTGGTTATTTTGGGGGATGGTTTTAGTTTGATTTTCACTTGAATAGTATTTTCAGATAACTTGGTATATAGTTTCTACTTTTTACTATTGTTTTTCTAGGAGTTTTTTATTGCATTTGAAAAATTCAAAATTACTTTCAGGTATAACTTAAAAAACAACACACAATCAAAATGAACTTGCACAGAACAAGAAGAAGCAGAAGGATAAAATTACTAGCTCAGGATGTGTCCCTTATATACTTCAGATACTCTGTTGAAAATATCACTATGGTACATTGTTAAAAAATTAGGTATTGAGTTTATTAAATTTAATCTGCACTATAAAAACACTTATAAAACAGATTGTCACTCTGAAATACCACAAGCCATAGTTTGCATCCGTTCAAGAAAAAAAAATTGACCCAACAGTCTATTTTGGTTTGGGGATTGCTTTTAGCTCCTCCTGTTAAAAAAAATCCACTATTACATGTGAGAAAAGGATCTTGTACATGTCTTATCAAGCTACTCTCCATGTTTTGGACAATTTATGTATCTAAAATGTGGTGTTGTCTGTGTTATATAATTTTATTTTTTTTTTTTTTGGCCAGGAGATCTGAGATTGGTTTTGCTTGATAGCCTGATAGCTTGAAATTCCATTGTGGAGAGGATTTCTTATTGTTTGATTGATCCTTTATACGTATTTCCGTGGTGCCCATCACTTCAGTGTCTGTGCACCAAATCTTTAGCTCTGCCAGTGAGATCCATTATTCAGCAAAATTTAAGCCAGTATGTAAATGCAGTCAAGTGATGGAGATTTGTGTATTTTATAAATGATTTTAACACTGAGTAACCAATTGTACAATTCATTGTATGTTTCTGAAGACATAAAACCACAACATTCTGAGAAAGGGCTGTGCCAATGTAAGAGGAATTTACCTTAAGGCTCTCTGTCACTAGTGATTTACTAGCTTTAGCTGTTTAACACATTATCTGTATTTAGTAGTGATTATTTATTTACCACTCTGAGGTAATTCAGAATTCATGACTCACAGCTTTATAGAAGAGTTTAGGAAATCTTGCTTTTATTTAATTTGGCTTATGACTGCCTTGTGTTGTAGAACTCTGGCATACTGCTTCCAGTAAGGATATCCCAGGTTAAAAAATCTATTTCACACTTTAGAATGGATGCATAATGAACCAATATACCAGTAAAGCTTATACAATGTGAGTTTTGCCAGTTCAGTCAAAATTAACATGATTGTGTGTGAAGGATGTACTTCACACAAAAGAATTTAAAAAGTGTTTTTTGTTCATGGTATCTTTAGTATCACCATTGGAGAAAGAGGCAGCAATGAAAGATAAAGTTTAGGAGTTACTTCCTTCATTTCTTACATATATGCTTTATACAGTCGGAAGGCAAGTTAAGCAACTAATAAATTTATACTGTACACTGTGAATAGCGAATAAGGCATTCTGTATCTTTTTTTAATTCACAAAAGCCAGAAACTGGGAGTTCCTTATACAGTTGGCCAATCAAATCAGAAATAAAATCAGACTTTTTTTTTTGGTAATTGGCATATTTATCAGGAGATTCTCCTGAACTGTGGTTTGCCACTTAAAAATATAGGTTTCTCAGTCCAAGTTATTCTAGAAGTCAAGCATTGCTCATAGTGGAGCAAGATACATCATTTAAAAAAGCTTTCATGCTGCTTGTTGTCAAATGGAAGGGAAATTGCTGAGGTCAAGTAGGAGTCTGAAGCCTAGCATAACATACACACACTCATTATTGTTTAATTACTTTCTTTTTACATCAGGTAGTGATTATTATTGCATTAATTTAAATGGGAGTTTTGGCTATCAAGATTTGTTGATTTGAAGTGTAATTGAATGAAATCTGATTAAGGTTTTGACTTCTCTGGTCCAATTGTGATGCAGGTTGGCATTCTCATTTATCAGCCCCTGTCTCCATATGGCTCAAAGTTGCACCAATGACTGGTGAATGACACAAAAAACCCCAAACAAAAGCAGCATACATTGTATGGATTTTCTCAACCGCTATTGTTTAATGGCTGTGTTTAATGTGACCTATCTGGAAAATGAGGACTACGAATAAAAAGCAATTACTAATAGTGGTGTTGCCTGCTTTTGCATTCATTAACACAGAAGAAATGTGTTAAACATTGCATACCACAGGGAGCCTGATGGTAATTACTTTGGAAAAGCAACTTGTGGCAATGCGGCTGTTACAGCTAGTTATCAGTTTGCCAAAAAAATGACAGTTCCTACTTCATTTATTAGAAATGTGTAACTGTTTTCTCTCAACAGGAAAGTGGCAAAGAGTTTTCATCAAGCTGGGTAGGTTTGTCTTTTAAGCAGCTGATGCATTGAATCCCTACAGGCTGTTATTTGCTCATAGAAACATGGAGCTGAATAAAGGATATTTTGGTTTAGTACACTGGTGTAAGTTCACCAAAAACATTACAAATCAGCGTATAAGTTCTCAAAGACTGTCAGACCAGCAGAGGAAATCAAAATACCGCTTCAGTATACAAATAGAGAAAAAACCCCTGAAGAATTCAAAGGGTTGGGGTTTGGTTGTGGGTTTTTTTTAATTTAATTTTCAAATATGTCATTTTTAAGAGTTGGAGCAATTTTATTCATGTTACTTTAAATAACATGACAAATTGCTGGGAAAAGCATTACTAAGTCCTATTTTTTCCAGCTTTTTATTATAATTTAACACTTTCATTAACCTCTTTTGTTCAATTGTTTCTTGTTATGTTTGAACATTATGATTAATTCTTGGAATATAAGGCCTTCTCTGTATGCTCCTGTGTGACTGGAGCGATGACATACCAAATTATGTAAAGCCTGTACACCAGTTTTTAGAGTTTTTTTATAGGAAGAGTTGGCTTGACTTTTGTTTGTGTTTGGTTTTTGTTTTGTTTTGTTGTTTTGTCTTATTGGTTTTGGTTTTTTTTTTGCTTTGTTTTGTTTTGTTTGTCTGTTTGTTTTTACCAATAATTAAGTATATAGGCATTGCTTTTGACAGTTAAATAGAATTTTAGTTTGTTCAAAATACTACAGATATTATAAATATATGTGCTAGTCCTATAGACAGAATTACCTTTTACCCATTGCATTTTTTCTACAAGTCAGAAACAAAACCAGCTTGCATTTATTTAGCTGGCCAACCTAAGACACAGAAACCCACCACTGTTTTCTTCCCTTTTTCCCATTACATATGCTTGTCTTTCTACAGACTGAATTCCAAATCTGGGAAACCACTCTCTGAGCAAACTCCTGAGAGAACATACCTGCTGATGGGTTCACTGGACATGGGATGTTACTCTTACTGTCTTCAACTTTGTGTAATTCAAAGCTTGGATGGATCCACAGTATATGTAGAACAAGCCATAAACCATCCTGGCTTTTCTTTACCCAGAATACAGAGTCATTGATTTCCCATTTGGAAAGTAGCCAGTCTGTCAAACAGAGATTCTTAAATCTCCTTTAAGCCCACCATGTATAACTGCTTCAGGGTGTTCACTCATGGGATAAATACCCTATCTTTATCTTTTATTGAGTCTAAGACATGAAAGCAGCTGAAAGCTTATTTCTTCAGTTCGTAATGTTTCCCTAAAAATGAAATTTCTCCAGTAGAAAGGACAACTGTCTGCTGTCTGCATAGCTTGATTCGTGAAAGGTCACCTTAGTTTCAGTAGTGCATGAAGAAATGGATCAGGGAATTAATGAGCCATCTAAGAATTTTCTGAGATGTATATTCCGTAATGCATATGTTATGATTCAGGGAAAATAGCACAGTATCTTGATTTATTTATTGCTGATGGTTCCCAGTAACGTCTAGCTCACAAAAAAATGTCGTTCAAATTTTGGGGAAACATTTTTGTCTTTTTTTAAAGTTTTTTTTAATTGGTTGGTTGGTTTCCTAAATATTTTATATTTGGGACCCTTTGCTATTTTTAAAACAAAAATACTGTTCTGATATGGTTCCCCCCTTTCGGTTATTTAGACTAGAGATAATACCTTTTACTTGGACAAGACTCCAAAATGTCTGTAAAAATTATGAAATTTATCTTGTTAAGAGTTAATAGTGTAGGTGCAGTTTGAAACATACATTACTGGACAACAGATCCAGATTTTTACCTACTGAGGAATGGAATAATTAAAATTCCATTTCTGAAAACATGTTTTATTTAATGCTTTGAACACTATGGAAATTTTATTATAGTGCACCTACTGAACAGCTGCCAGAGAATTAGGGGAACAGTCAGCCAGTAATCCTTAACTTTTTCCAAGTTAAAAGCAACATTGAAGTTGCCTCTGGAAATCATCTGATTGCTAATGCAGTATAGAAAACATACTTTCATTATGTTTGAAGAAGAAATACTCCTTAACAAATTTGCAATTACATTTTGTAATAACTGCACATTTTCCATCTTTTTAAGAGCAATTGCATACAGAACTCTTTTGAGTGGTTTGATTTGTGAGTGATAAAAAATGGATCAATAGGCTGGCATCAACATTGAAATGGAAACACCATATTTGTCTGACCACCAGAAAATGACATTTATCTATTTCTGTTATTACTTTCTATAGGAAAATATTCAATGCATATATTTTTTAAGCCTCTTAAATCAGGCATCAATTATTATGCTGGATGCTGTAATGATTTCTGCAAGTGTCCCTTTCATTAGTCATTACTCCTCCCTTTTTATATGTCCATTTAAAATTGTTTACATTGAAAATTTATTTCATGTAGAGAATTTAGAGCAGATTTTCTCTCTGTTCTTCAAAGTTATTTCACACTTCATACCATATAATAAAAAATATTAATCATAATATTTGTAGATAAGACCTCAATTTATTTCTTATTACTCTTTGGTTTAAAATTTGATTAGAGTTGCTGAAATAATATTTTATTTTAGCAATATTTTTATTTTCCAATTACAATCTTTATCTTTTTATTAAAAAATTCTTCACTATTGTGAGTTCAGTGGGAGATCCTGTTAAGAGGAGTGCCAAACTTAGCAATCTGGATAGCTCTAAATAAGGATGTTTTCTTGATAACTAAACATATCGTTATTTCGCCTTTAGTGAACATTATTTCTTTTTGGATGTTTTGTACTGAAATGATAAGAAAAAAAATAATCTGATATGTGTATTCTGGATAACTAATACATTTAATATCCTCTAACTATAATGTGGTTCATAGTAATGATATTTCATTATGAGTATATGTTTAGGGACTGTCTTAGACCAGATGAGAAATTGTACTTGCTCTGAATACCCTTTGAGTTTCCGTGCTTGAAGCCATATTGCCTATAGGAATGATTTTTTATTCCCTTGTGCCTCATTTTAAATTGACAACAAAATTAATATAAGCACTGCTATATCATTTAATAAGCAGTTGTATAACACCAAGTGAATATAGTAAATACAGCAGAAAAGAATACATGTGAAACTATTTTAACATTACAGTACTGTTGTATTATAAGAGATTTAGAGCAGAGATTAGCAACTGTTAATAAGCCTTTATCTTTGACCACAAGATAAGCCTCTTAAAAGCATTGAGGCTTTGCCTCAGTTTAAGGTCTGTAGTAGTAGTGGAAAGCTGCAGAATAAGGGTACTACTATTCAGATGCTGGGTTACTTTCATGCTATTTTCTAGAAGAGACTTCAGAGGTTGGTAATTATGTGTCCATAGTAACTTTTGCACTTCCATGGGCCAGTATAAGTAAGTGAATCAAGCTCCCTGATATGTACCAGCTCACTGCCACTCAGTGCTCCAAGACTACCTTAGCAGTCTATTTAGGTGACTTATTCAGGGATCCAGTATGGATAGAAAGGGGATTTTTTTAGTACATCTTTTTGTACATGCCAGAGCAAGAACATCTTTCAAGGAAAGAACACCTGCCTTTTGAAAAAACAACAGTTTTTGAAAAGTAGTCTCCAGAATCCCCCCAGAAAAAAAGAAAACAGGAAAAATAGCAAATATAGTCTTCCTTGTGGATATTTTCCCCTCCACAACTCAGTTGAGTAATACTGTTGATGACTATAAATCTACCACCATACTTTTCTAAATACACATATTCCAGAGGACTAAAATAGGAGAGAGGAATGGAAGTTTTAGAAACCCAGGTAAAGACTGTATACTGATAGCAAGCACATTCAGTCCTTTAATTTCCAAATGAATCACCTTTTTTGAAAGATTCATACTTCTGCACTTATTAATAACCTTCTATGGACTGCTAAATCATAAAACCACTGCAACTGCAAAAGTTAATTTAGTGGAGAAAGAAATCAAGATAGAGACAGAAAACGAATACTATATTTTAGGCAGACTTCCAGTTTCTATTAATTCTTATCACTTCGTCTCAGGTGAAATGTCAGGGACCCATCATATTACTGCAACAGCAGGAGAAGTAGAAACAATTGGAGGACATCTGAATCAAGTGTCTTGTTCAAAAAGCTTTCATGGAGATCTGCCAAGCTTATTCTGGGATCAAGCCTGTAAACCTGAGACAGCTCTGCTGATAACCAGTAATTCCTGTAGTTTAAGGTGATGTTCACATCACCTACTGCCTGGAAAAATTTCAAGCTTCTATGGGCAATGACAACATCAACTGCAAGGAGCCACCAGGTGCAGCTGCCAAATCTTGAATCCCATAGCTTCTTGTAAGTGGATGCCAGCTCTCCTCACTCATTTAATTTCCTTCATCCTGAGTGTTTATAAGGCATACTAGTAAATGCTAGTCAACATTTCCAAGCCTTGAAGGGTGGTCTGGAGAAAGACCAATCCTTGCTCAATGCATGTGTTTGTTAGCATAGAATGCTTTTTTGCAGCCAGATAAAAATCAGAACTGTATTTGAAGAACCACCTGTTTGCTCAGTTTGGGAATTTCTATAATTATTATTTTGTTTCATTGTATAAATAATCCAGAAAATCTTCAGCATCAGTGAAGCTAAAAGCATGCTCATTTTTAACAGCAGCATAAATATTAATCAGCATCACCAGTCCAGACTGAGGATTTTATTTAGCATAACATGTACAACTATGCAACAATTATGTAAAAATGGAAGTTATTATGAGCTGTAATTAATATAC